TGGCAGTTTAGAGTGAGGCAGAAAGATATGGACGACAGAGCTGGAGGCAGAAACAGTCAGAGAGAGAGAAGGATTGAGAAAAAGATGAAAGGAAGCATGAGAGAAGGCTGGAGGCAGAAAATAAAATTGGTGCGACTGTGATATAGTAGCATGTACATGTATTGGGCCCCATTATAAAAAGGCACGTGACAGCTTAATAGGACCCTGGCTGCCAAGAAGAAAAAAGAAGTTCTGAACAGCAGGGTATGTGCTATATCTTCTCTGAAGGCGTCACACATATGCTGAGTAAACTATTCAGAGGAGAACAAAGGTTCTCATTAAATTGGACAATGTGACGTGTATTGATTTCTCTCCATAGAATCCACAACGCCTATTGTTTGGAGATCCTCACTTCAGATCTCTGCTGCCATTGCTGCGGCAAACATCAATATGCGGCTCTGTGGTGCATTACCAAAGGGTTAATTACATACTTGTAAGCAATTACTCTCTTAATGTAGCATAGAATCCTCCCCCCAAATTGGAATTTGGATCAAAACACATCAAGCCGTCAGTCAGTGATAGCATCTTTCTAATATAGTGTCAACTAAAACATAATAGAAGTTGAATCTTACATGTATATGGTGTACAGGGTTTGAAGCCTACTCTAAGGTCAAGTCCATACAGACAAGATAACAAAGATGAGAGGTTTTATGTGGCAAGTAAAGGTCTAAGAAACTGCAACTGAATGACTATAATTCAAAATGTATTTTCAGTTATACTATACATTGTTAAAGCTCTCATCCTAAACAAAAATACTTTATGACTTTCCCAACACTCTATATTACTACAGCCATTGTTAAAGAATCATGTGTCTAACTGTCCTAAAATATGGGTGGCAGATTATGGTGGGAAGAACAGTTGGTGACACAGAAATACAATTTGCTATCTTCTCTGTGGTGTTTGGTGGCATGGGAGAGGAGGGGGGGGGGTCTTATTGGACACTAGCCTGCGTCTGGTAGTCCTGTCACAGCCCGGATGGGGTTTAATAGTGTGTCTGTGTGTGTGTGTGTGTGTGTGTGTGTGTGTGTGTGTGTGTGTGTGTGTGTGTGTGTGTGTGTGCATGTGCGTGTGAGAGAGAGAGAGCGTGAGAGAGAGAGAGAGAGTGTGAGTGAGTGAGTGAGTGAGTGAGTGAGAGAGAAAGATAGAGAGACATCAAGTGAGAAAGAGAGCAACAGAAAGAGAATGAGAACAAACAGAGAGCTCTATTCAGGTCCGATCCACAGACACATCATTCATCTGACATCACGATACATCTCTGTGACCAGAGTATTCGTATAGGGCCTCACCAGGCCAGTTACAGATGCATCATTCACACCCACACACAGACACACAAGCACATATCTTGCTGAGTCTTGCCTACACTGCTACAAGGCATTTATATCACTATGGAGAATCCTTCTAAGATTCTCCATTCATACTCATTCATAGTTCTCCCCTTGACATGAACACATTGCAAAGATTTTCTATGCAGCTTATTCGTATAAGTACACTGTCCTCAAATTGTAATGAATGTCTTCACTGCCAAGGTTGGAGTGAGAGTTTATCCATTAGCAAGCCATAATATTGACAGGGCCGTGCTCTGCAGGTCCAAACTCCAGCCTTGTAGCCGTAACATTGGCCGACAGACAGGGGGTAGTATGTCAATGTGAGGTGCTTACAGGCCGATAAAGGCTGCTGTTCCAATTCCTATAGGCAGCCCTTGATGGACAGCACACGGGGAGAAAGGGAGAGAGGGAGGGAGACTCATGAGAGGGGGAGAGTGAGTAGTGCAAAGTGCTCTTACAGCTCTTAAGAGTTTAGAACTGAGCTGGAATTTGGTGAAAGGACAAGGAGGCAAGACACAGATGAGATAGGATTATCAAACTGCTCAGGACTAAATGTTTTTCCCTTGAGACCTTGACAGCAGCAGAACACACACAAAAACCCACAAGAATACACATCCTCGAAGACGACAAGCACATAAATGGGAACATTCAGGCAGGAACGAGTTGAGATCCACATTAACACTGAAAAATAAACTAACACACAGATGCACACAGTCTAGCTAGCCCGTCAGCCCCTGTCACACAGACAAGCAGAGGAGCTTCAGCCTGCGGTAAAAGAAACTTTGCCCTGCGAGTAACCTACTCTACTTTACGTCACAATTGCAAGCTACACACAGCAACTAATACACCACATATCAGCCAGCAGTATATGTTGTTTGTCAAGTTTGTTTTTTAGCTGTCCATCAAAGAGCCATCAAAGTGACTCGGGTGGCAAAAAGAATGAAATCCAATAATATCACACTTACTTCCTTCACCGCACAACTAAAACACATGTAAATACTATAAAACATCTTCTATGGAAAGATGTCTTTATAATTAATACGTTAAAAGTAAAATGTGTTACACATGTTAAAATAAACATATGGACCTTTTGGTTAAACATCTAATAAATGTACCAAATATAATATTAATCTGGCATTGAAGACTAGTATAATGGAATCAATCTATCCACTGCACCAGCCTGTGAAGCCACACTGCCCCTCATGGTATTTCCAGGATACAGCCTCGTCCCTACAGCCACGCTCTGTTGAGTGTGCACTAAACAAGTATGTAAGCCTTTTTCTTGGAAAAAAAATAAAAAATAACCCACACATCTCAAAATGTATCATGGCAGCACTTGCAAGAGATCTGCAACAACAACACAATGGTGTACATTAAGTATGGAGTTACATCAAACAGCATTTGGAAGCACAACACTGAATTGATGCATTAAGTCTGGAGTGCAGGTGGATAGGGGGAGGGAGAAACCAGCAGAGGGGCTCAGAGTACTCAGTGTGACTGCTGTACTAGGGAACTGTATTTTGCATAGGCTGGAGCAGCTGCTTTCTGTGCATGAGGTGCAAGGGAGGGTGGGGAGGAAGGGAGGTGAGGAAGGAGGGAGCGATGGAGCAGGAGAGGGACAAAGTATAAAGGGACCTACATCACACTACATGGTTGAGACTACAGCGTGTGCTGAAGAGCCTGCACTGTTACTCCCCTTGCCTTAATGTCTAGAAATCAGCTCAAGCTCCAACAAACCGTCCCATTCAAGTGCAGATGACACTGATGGCAGGAAATGACACACAGATACGCTGTGCCGAAGGGGATGATTAACCTTCTGTACGAGGATGTAGGCAAAAACCAATGTGTTGATAACAAAGTAAGATACTGTGCACAGAACAAATGCATTGTTAAGACTGTGCTGACCGTAACACTATCCTAAACACTGAGCACTGAGGAAAAATTACTCGGCATTGCTCATCACCGCGACTCTTGGCTCACTCCATGTGGCACAACTCCAACACGGGAAAAAGTGCAGAGCAATCAAGAGGAGGGTGTTCTATGTGAATGTTGTCTCTCCAAATAACTCCAAATTGTCTCAATAAATTAAAGAAAATCAAATCTGTTTAACTGTAATTTGGCAGTGCTGTAAAAATCTAGCCTACATTTGCTCTTAGTGTGTCACTCAATATTCTGAAAACAACATTTACAGACCACCACAACTGGGTTTATTAACTACTCAATACAGAAGGACTTCAAGGACATTTAAGAAAAAGTACACAGGCACGAACACAAATTCACACATTTGGCTCACTTGTCTTCTTTATTGCTGTATCAAAGCAAAAATCCTTCACATAATGTTTTTCAATAATATTGTTTTTTATAAAGAACAAGTTAAACCTTAAACTACACACAGTATGTGACCCTAAAGGATAATTCCATTACGTAAGATAAAGTCGCATTAAACTCAGTAGCCTACTGCATACCACAGAGAGTAAGTCCCTGTGGACGTATTACAATGTTTTCTGTTAACTGGAGTATCCCTAAAGTCAAGCCCTGCGGTCAAGTTCAAAGCTTGGAGAGGAGACTGGCGAATCCCAGCGATCCTGGCAGCCACACGGGGATAAATGCGCCTGTTAAGGTTGATTTTGCGTACAAGACGCAGTTGACACAGATACTCTTAAAACGATACATGTGCGACTCACACTGAAAAATATACTACTAAAAATATAGTCACACGCTGACTACAAGGAGCTGTTTAAAAGGCAAAGCCACGAGAAATGATGAATTGTGCAACTGTGAAACCCCGATACTACAAAAGAACCCGTTTAGAAATTTTCTTCATAGTACCATGCTTGAATAGTTTCAGGCTAGAAGTCATTCCGACATGGCTCCCCACAGATCCAGGATATGCCCCAAAACTGCATGAATTAAAATAACTTTTTTATTTTTTTTAAATAGAAAAACCACGCTGTGTTCATCATTCTAACTCATGTTTCATCAGCCTTTTAAATTTAGCATCTCACAGAATTTACTGTTAAGCGTCTTGGCAAAACCATAAAAGAGTATCTGATAGTTTTGTCCATTTCCATGATTTAGAGCAGAGCCACGACTGAAATCCCAATTGCAGCCAGAAGTCTACACGCCACTAAATGCTAGTCGTACTCACTGGGTTTATCCCTGAAGCCACTGCGTAAATCCGACGCGGAATCCCCGACACATCTTCCAGTTTTTAACCTTCAGGAGTTTAACGCTACAAGAGGGATACGCTCAAATTTGGGCATGCAGCTCTCTTTGGCTTACAGTGAATGAAGGGCATGGGTGATATGAAGCGCCAAACGGAGGGAATCCAGTCAATATAAAAAGTCCCAAGTTCAGAGAAACAGCAGGTCATTGCATTTTTCTGCTGTTCGCCCCCGGGACTAGTCACACGATCCAAATGGACAGGTTCGAAATGAAACCCGCCCGATCGCCGGAGTGCGCAGAGCGGGCATGGCGCAGCTAGAACAGGTGCAACACGCCTCCGTCACCTGGCTGGTGCAGTGGCAACCTCACACCCCCCCAAAAAAACTGTCTATAAATGGCACCTCGGCACCCCTAAAAAACAGCACTGGTTGGGGAGGAAAAACTAACGTTGAGACAAGCCTCTTTCCTTACCTGTAATCTATGCAGATATCACTTCACAGCCGCATCGACACTGCGGATAAGAGGCACGTCCAGAGCAATCCCCAACTCCTTTTACTCCCCCCAAAAAATGAGAAATGCTTAGAATAATGTTATATCCTGATCAAACGGCTTGTCCACTTTAAATCCCCGGTGGAGGTGTAGTCAGAAGGCGATTCCTGCACGGGAAAAAGAAATAGCAGCAGACTTCCAGCAGCATCCCCGATCAGCAGGACTCTACTACGCCGCTCTGAGCTCTCTGAAACACCGGGAGCTGCACCTCCCAATCCCCCGGTGAGGACGCACTTGGTATGCCGTTGGAAAAGCCGCTGCGCCGTATGGGATACCGCAGGAGGCTGTGCTTGTGTGCGTGTGTGTGCGCGTGTATGTGTGTGTGCGTGTAGCGAGCGTGTGTGTATATAGATGTGACTCAGTGCGGTGCTCCTGCTCAACTGAGGTGCTGAGGGTGCTGCGGCGGAGTGCGAAAGGAAGAGAGGGAGTGCGGGAGGGACGGGGAAGGAGAGAGAGGGAGAGAGAGAGAGAGAGAGAGAGAGAGAGAGAGAGAGAGAGAGAGAGAGAGGTGCGCTGCCTCAGAGTTTGCAGCTTCGCGGCGGATCTTGATGCTCGGGAGGGACTGGGTAGATGGCGCTTCGCCCGCTGCAAGAAGCGACTGTTTTTTGTTTTTTTTCACCAAGGATCCAGACCGGCCCGCAGTACCATCTCGGGTCTGGATGGGGCTGCGTTTTAGGGTTACAACTCTCTGGCAAAAACCCTGACCACTATACAATACAACAAACAATTTATTACTACCATAATCACGTTTATGATCTAATTCCCTTTGCAGACGGCGACAAATTGCCAGCTTAAGGGAGTTTCACCAGTGTCCAGTAGCCTTTATGTTGACTTCTTTAAAAACAATCGTGTAGACCACTTTTAAGAAGAAGAATTTTAAAAAAAGTTGATGTTAAGGTTGAACAGCTGCACCCTTTGAGGGGATATTTTCACCTAAGAAGAATATGACAGAGGATATGAGATTAAATAAGAGCTTATGTTTTGTTAAAATGGGAGGTTTATGTGAGGTTTATGTAATGCATCTATCCCGTTGAGAATAGGATTTGGCAGTGCCAAAGGGGAATTTACACAAATACGCTACAATACCGGGGTGAAATGATCAGATCATCGGATTTGAATATCTAATCGCAGGATCATTTAAAGATAGAGATTAGGCAACACAGCAACATAATTACGACACTTGCATAGTTGTAGGGGATTAGAATCTGCATTTTTGTTCTTTGATGATCTTTTAACATGCTTCAGGAGTGTATCCTCCCCCCATACATTTTAAGCAATTAATATTCTAAAGGCCTAATTATGTAATCATGTCTTTAACGAAATAAGCAGTGTGGGGGTACAGGAATAATGCCCTTTTCCATAAAAGAGGCTCTTAAGCCTACTCCTTATCTTCATATAAGACCATTTAAAACCAATCCATCAACAACTAAATATGTCGCACTATATTGAGTCAATGCTGAGGTTTCTTTTGTTTTCATCTCATGAGATAACTACCAAATTAAGCCCTGCTGGCCTGGTGATATTGGTATTTCTAACAGGCAGTGGCATGGTAGAGGACTTTGGCAATGGGCTCCAAAAAAAAAAAACAAATGGAAAAAATGAGCATGACCGTTTATCCTATATCCTAGCAACTCAAAACAAATAGTGTGAGCTCGGGGGTGTGGGGTCTTTTGGGGAGTTATCCTCGTCTGCTGCAGCATCCTCTCCGTCCCTCTTTCCCTCCTCCTCCTCCTCCTCTCCCTCCCTCCCTGCGCTCACTTCCAGAGCGTTTCCTCGCTTTGAAACACTGCATCAGAGCCCCACCTACAGGCCAAAGAAACTTTACAGCCACTGACACTGACAAATAAAGCCGAGGCAAAGTGCCTCACCGGCCCTGTTGACCACAAGCTTTTTCCTTGGATTTTAACTTGGTACTGTACAAACCTTAATATGATACAAATGTGATACCAACATCACAGAAAAGTTAGGCCAGATGAGTGATTTACAATGACCTGCTGCCTCATAGAGTCTTCATGCAAGTAATATTAGGGTTGAGAAAAGAAAGAGAAACATGATGGAGGACGAAAAAGTAGTAATAATAGAATAGTCAGTCAATATTAGGAGGATTAAAGGGCTGAAAGTGAATGTTTAAACATGTAAGCAATGCCTCTTTTTTAAAAGCAATACATATTAACGAAACAGGTTACTGGCATTAATTAATTTGGTTTAGGCTAACCACTACCAAGATGGCGCTGCCTCAAAAGCTTCCCCCAAAACCACCACCAACAGTATCATTCAAGACCTTACTTACCTCGAAAAGTCTCCGCAGCTGTCTAACAAATAAGTTAACTCCGGTGTTCAAACTCATGTCTAGCACTAAGTCAAACGCCAGGTGAGGCGTTAAAGTAAACAACTATTTAGGTTTAAGCAATTTATCGATTGTAAACAAAAAAGGAAGCGACGTATCATAATTAACACCATCTTGGAGTCACGTGACTATAATCTCGCCCACCTGTGTATTATTTTCTTATTCTTTTATTTCTTGCTTTAGTGACTAACAGCTCACTTGTGAAGCTTCTGCAAAATAAATGCTCAATGTAAAATTACCACAGCGGTACACACTTAGCTACGCCATAGTCTATTGATTAGTGGAGGAACATTTTATATAAACAGGCTTGATAAAAAATTTAACCTAGAAATGAGCCTGCAGACATCACTTTGAAAGTTTTACTTTGCCTTTAGATATCTTTAATTATTTAGAATGCGTTATTCCTCGCTGTATTCAGTATCATATATTCTGTATCTGCTTGTTCAGACACTTGGTTGAAGCTGTGATGGCTATATGGCTTCAGTGCTACATCAAATGGAGATATTGAGTCTCGGGTATGTTTGTGTACACATTTCCCTAAAAAATTCCGCCTGACATACTGGAAACTTTGGGACTTCTACCAGAGTTTAAAATAAAGTCCTGTGGGTGTGAAATGCTTGGCCAGACCGGATGAGTTTGTAAAGATGGACCCACTGGTGGGACTGGATGGCCACTCTGCTTCTTGCCAGGGTAACACTTGGTAGCTTTTGAAAAATCAATATAAAGAATTGGATAAGATAGCTTTTTTGTAAACAAATAAACCCATGAAAATAAACAAAAAAGGCTTTTTAACTGTCCAATGTCACCTCTGAGAAGGACTGACCTCTTATAAATCAATTCACACAATAAACAAACAATAGCTGTGTGTTTGGGGGTGGTCGCTATTCGACCAAATCTCTTTGACAGGCCATTGATTTCCGTATGTCAGATCTGTGCTCATTTATTATACTTTGGTCTTCCTGACAGACTCTGAGGGTATCTCTTGGAGTCATTTGAAGGATGAAAATGCATAGATATCCACAGACCAACTGGCTTTATGTAATTATTCAACACAAGCGCAGCGCTAAATCAACAGTCTGTGGATCTCAATATCAGATAGCTTTCAAACCTCAGCAAATCAATAGTGCTGCAATCTACAGTGACAATAGTCGTTCCATGAAGGGTCAGGATCACACGACCTTATAAAATTAATGTTAAGGTCACTGGTCCATGAGTAAATCAAACATGCTTGGACCAAATGATAATGGGTCTGTATAATTATGTTTTATCGTCGGAGTTCCATATCTGTGTGCTGCATGAGCATAAATTAATTCAATCCAAGGACACGCAGGTTTGTCTCGAACGCTTAAACACACAAGATTGCCGTGACTTTATAGTAAACTTGGCTGAAATAAGTAGAAAATTTACATGCATGTCAGGCATTGTATTAAAAAAAAGAAAATGAATGTCCATTGTTCTCTACAATAATATTGGTGTCAGTGACCCTTAAGGTAAGGTCAACTTTATGGTCATTTAAGACTAGAGGGGTCCTCAGCAGAATGACCCGTGTGACTGCTAGCAGCTTAGAAGCAAAAGAAATTTCAAAAATAGTTCACATTTATTTGCTGTTTGGAGTTTCATCTCGTTTGTCTGCTATAGAATTTGTTTTCAACAGTGTGTCTGTGCCATCTTCACTTCTAATCCAATAGCAGTTAAAGAAATGTAAGTTGATCTAAGGAAGGTTTATAGATGTTGGCAAAACAATCCACAAGCAAGTATACAATTTCATTGACCCGACCAAGAAACTCGTCCCTCCGGAAATGAGACTTCAGGACTGGTCGAATTACATATTCTTTAAAATGTCGGGAGATTTTCATGTCATCACTTTTCTGTATATCCGTGAGGAAGTGTAAATATCATAAATTATAAATATTTTATTATTAGGTTATTCTTTACCTTGGAAACAGCAGTTGGCACAGTCCGATTACAATGTTCATTAGAAGCTGTTTTGGTACTTGCAGTAGTATCAAAATATCTTCCTCAGCAGATGAGGTTTGTCCAGTTGTCATGGAATTGTACATGTTCAAAATCACATTTTCTGAGGATGTAATCTATGTTATCTTTAATGTTAATACTTGTAGTTATTCCTGATCTTTGGTCCAAACATTTTGGATACAGTATGGTACATTAAGCATAGAAAAATGCTAATTTTCCTGAATGAGTAGGAAGAAATGGCAACAGGGCCTGTCAGGCTATTGTTATTCAGGTGTTAAAGTATGAATTTGAATGTTGGTATATTAAGAGTTCAGTAAACCTGTCCCTGCTGTGTGAAAGCCTGCATCTGTGAGGGCAGAGGAGGATACTAGCTTGGTGCTTGGCTCTTTATTAAAATGCACTGACCAATCTGACTTCCCCATTTGTCTTGCAAATGAGATGATGACTTATGGAGGCAACATGAATAGCTTTGATGAAGCCTCCTTTTTAATGCAGTCAAGTGGGTTGGAGGGAGGTGCGCGTGTGTATCTGTGTGTCTGTGTGGATCCTGTTGCCAGCTGGCACACTGTTATTTCAGCAGCTCTCCTCATCTTGCCTAAAAACTGTGCCTGTGTGTAGCTACACAGAAGCCTGAGTTGCGTCCCTGTGTCCTTTTGAATTAACTGGGTGAACCCCTTTAAACACAGCTGTACATGGTTTATCTTAAGCCTGTGGGGATACAGAGATCACCCAACAGTGGTACACTGTCCCCGGGGGTCTTCCCCTTACCCCTGCAAGCCCCAACACACACACCCTACACACACTGTATGACACACATAATAGACATTCATCACACATCTGCCACTGTATATCCCTCAATGCAGCAGGCTGCTAAATCACGCATACAAAGCATGTATATATCCGCTTTATGGTCAATTTACAAGTCATTTCTATCCTGGGGATGATAATATTTATGAGCTGCCAATGGTGATGCCGGATTTAGTGTGTCCATCTTCATAAAAGTGTCTGCCCATTCCCTTCACTCTCTCAAAGGCTTATTGCCTCCTGTTTTAAATCACACTGAAACACTGGATATGTCAAGCTCATCCATGATATCT